CTCCTGGCCTTACTACTAGTAACAAGAAGCTACTAGGGGCTCCTGGCATTGCTACTAGGAGCAAGGACGCTACTAGGGGCTCCTGGCCTTACTACTAGGAGCAATGTTCGCTACTAGTAGCTCCTGGCCTCTGCCGGCGCAGATTGTGGTCGCATAGCCTTGGAAAAGGTTGGTCGTAGCTGACACGGCTCTGAGCCGTCAAATCCAGAATCGACTTAAGATCAAAAGATTGTAAATTATGTATATGTGTGTGTGTGTCATAATTAAATAAGCTGTACAAGCGCATCTTCAATTATTATCACTTGGCGTTGTCATGTCATGTGTGGTTTCCGAAATTGAGAGCTAGACTGCTAAACAAATTAATGAAAGTGGGTTCTGATTTCTTGAAATGGTTGCAATGAAATGGTTACAATGCCCTTTGCTCCTAGTAGCGTCCTCTTGCTCCTAGTAGTAAGGCCAGGAGCCCCTAGTAGCGTCCTTTGCTCCTAGTAGCGCATCTGCACGAGTGTTTGGGACAAATGAGCATAAGTGGGGCCGTAGATGGGAAGCTGCGTACATCAGGCCGGGGGGGCCGCTTCGTCGTCAACGGTACAGTGCCTTACTTCAATAGCACGCCTTGCAGCAGCTCCTGGACAGAAAAACAAGCACAAGAAGCAATCAGAAGCACCTGGACAAAACAGCGAATCAGGCAAAATGCCCGCCCCTCACATTTCCAAAGACGACCATTCTAAGGTTCACCTACAAAAGGTTGAACACCCAAAAAGGTACGAGTAACTACAACATCTATTCATATCTATTCTATGGCCGCCTAGACGAGCCATTTCTGGCATGTAGTTGTCGACGGTCTGAAGACGATCTCCAATCTCTGCGCTCCACTTCCCGCCTGACCACCCTCTGTTCGCGCATGGCGTGGCACTATTCGGCCGGGTGATCACAGCAGTGCTCGGGCGACTATTCGGCTCGGTGGGGGGCTCATCGAAGAACATCTCCTCAGATCTGAATATGTGAATGAATTCTGAGCCCAAGCCAAATATTAAACCAGTCTACAGTCCCTTCAATTGTCCGACGAACACGTTCTTCTCTAACTTCCAAACCTTTTTCATCTGCTATGGCGTCAAGCGTTGACACTTGACACAGGTGGCTTTCATCCAAGAGTGTATATAGACATGTCAAGTGGAAATGTGCTTTAAGATAATGTTGGCTGCGAAGGCGCGCTTTGTATCGACTCCCGTGAAAATCTTCGGCGGTACCTCAGTGTGTGCTGCTCTCAAACGAGTCATTGCTCTTTCGCAAGCCTTTGTGACAAGAAAATAGAAGATGTTCAGAACAAGCTCCACGTGGCAACTTGGATATCGTGAAGAATATGACGGCAAAATTTAGAATCTAAAATAAACTAACAACATCATAAAAAATCATAAACATGAGATTGGTATGTCCAAGGTACTGCTCATCTTCCTTATCAGAAGCTGCGCTGCCACTTATGCAGCTGGGCTCATGCCGGAGAGTTTGCTCCGTTTGCTCCTGTTTCATTAAGTCCTGAGTCAGGAGAAAGAAAACATCTTCACGACTGTCTATATAAGTGAGTCTTGAGAAGACCCGACAAACACAGCTTGCCACAGTTTGGGTGTCATAGCGCAAAATCGCTAAACTGCCGGCATTGTTTTTTTTTCAAAAAGGAAACTAACACATCATCAAGTCGACTCAAGAGGCTCCTCAATCTTGGCCACCGCCGCAAGAGGTTGCCGTAGGCGTGTGAGCCACTGCCTGAGAGTTCAAGCCCGGAGAATGCTAAGTTGAACTAAGGATCGCCCGGAAATACCGTTTTGGCGCGTTCGGTATTTCCAAAACGGCGTAACGTCACCACCTTGGCCTGAGGAAAGAATGTGAAGATATGTGAAGACATGACTACGACATGTGTTCATTTGGTACGTAGTTCCTCTACATCTAGCCATGGCGCTGGACCACCTTGTCATCTCGTTGTTGCTCCAGAGTATGAAGTCGGCGTTTGGGCCGCCTTCCCTCGGCAAACATAGAGCATCCTTTCCGTCTCAGGGAAGCTAGGTGGCATCTAGTAGCAACACTTGCTTATCTGGGTTTCTACCTAGTTGTTCAAGGGCAAAACTGATCCAAATTATTCCAAGATTCCTGCTGGAACTCATGGTGGGGTGGAGCTTTGAGGTCCTCTTCTTGCGCTTTCACCTGCACTTGTTGCAGATCATGCAAATCCTGCAGGCTTTGCAGGTCCTGCACGTCCTGCTTCGACAGGTCCTGCATGCGAAGTCTCAGGCATTGAGCAAAGCAACTGAAGTGGTTCGATCATGCGAAGAATTCTTGTTTCTAATAGCTTCTTGTTACTACTAGTAAGGCCCTTGCTCCTAGTAGCGATGCACTTGTTTCTATGGAATTCTGGAAATACCCAGCCTGTTCCGTTTGCTCCACCACCTTCATCTCCCGTTCTTCGCGTCGAGCCTTTCGCTTTCGGGGCACCTGTTCGACCTAAAGCAAGGGAGGGCATCAGTTGCTTTGTCTGTCGGTGCTGGTGGAATCACTGCAGAAGAGCCACCTCCGGTTTTGCGATTTTGATGTAGGAGATGGCCGAGGTGATGGGTTTCAAATCGATCTCTTCCAGCGCCTGAGCGCACAACTGAATTGCTAAAATTTGCTGCCCATATGCCCATATCCCATATCTGCCCATTCTGCTTGGTATATCCTTTGACACAGTGTACTCACTTGCGGCCTACGTCAACACAGTCATATACGCACTGTCACTGTTCGCAGCGCAGAAAGTACCAAAACCTCGATTTCAGAATCCAAGCGCAAGTTTATTCTCACTAGGAACAAGAAGCTACTAGGGGCTCCTGGCATCGTTACTAGGAGCAAGGACGCCACTAGGGGCTCCTGGCCTTACTACTAGGAGCAATGTTCGCTACTAGGAGCAAAGGGCATCGCTACTAGGAGCATTCTCAGTACGCTCGGAGAGCTGGCTGAGACTGATTTCATCTGATTTCTCTTACCGGCCAGCTAGCCGACCAATGCGCCAGAGAAGAAACTCGTAGCGAACATTGCTCCTAGTAGTAAGGCCAGGAGCCCCTAGTAGCGTCCTTGCTCCTAGTAGCGATGCCATGGGCCCCTAGTAGCGTTCTTGTTCCTAGGTGAACATTTCACACTGAGTGATGCTCTTGTAGGATGCTCTTCTGCGAGACACTCTTCTAAGACACTCTTCGATGGCACTCTTGTGCGACATTCTTGTAGGGGATTCTCAAAGTGCACTGTCGCGACACTCTTGTAGGACACTCTGGCAATCTCTTGTTCGACATCTTCTGTGTGCCACTCTTCCGATACATGGCAAAACGACAACTACCTTCACGAAACGTCGCAACATTACAATTCTCTGGACCGGCCCTAAGAAAATGGGCTCCAAACACCTTCAGCATTGTGCTTGCCATAAGAAGTTTTTACCACACATGACTTGGGCACTTCCTCACCGCAAGCATCCACTGACGCTGCGATATTCAACACTTGCACAGGAACTGTGAATTGCACACGCAAAAGACGCCAACACAAATGGTTTTGCGATTGCACGGTGACGAGTTGAACGTTTCGGGGGGTATCAACACTTTTCATGGTATATAGACGCCGACTGAATCGAAGGGTTTTTGGTAATCAAAGGCCGCGAGGTAGTCCGAAAGTGCCAGTTCCTGCTCCCAAGAGAAGAGACTCGGAACAGTGAGAGCTGTGCTTCTTCTTGGTTGGCAGTGCATGCTACACTACCTCTGAAAGCAGCCACCATAAAAGCTGTCCTCCTACGCTATTTTATGCGAATCGGACACTTCTTCCATCAGTCACCTCCCTCCACAAACTTCCCCCAGGTGGAAAGACCATAGAGTCTATGCGAAAACGACCCCACCCCGTAACCCCCAAATTCAAACCCCCAGTTAAGCAAGAACGCTTCGCTGCGCATTCAGGAAGAATAGAATCCATAACATGCGAAGCTATACATTTAAGAACAGGAAAGCATGTCTGACATGTCTTTCTTCCATTTTTCCCCAATATTATCATTGGACGCCTGTCAGTTGCTCTTCGCTCCCCTCCTGCCCCATTTCCCGCCTGCTCTTCCACCGGCGCTGGCGGTGGTGCAGGTCTGGACACGCGCCGCTGGGCGCAGTAGGCACGTGGCTCTGAGGTGAGACGGGCCAATTCGAGGCCACCCCCTGGGAGGCGTTCTCTTCGCGGCTCCTAGTAGCGTCCTCTTGTTCCTAGTAGTAAGGCCAGGAGCCCCTAGTAGCGTCCTTGCTCCTAGTAGCGATGCCACTAGTAGCTTCTTGTTCCTAGTATAAAGATTTTGAGATTGGATTGAAGATTCCAGGTTGGATACCATCGCTAGATTGAAGATTCATGAAGATTCCAATTCAGCAGATTGTATGAAAACTGCACTCGGCCGTCGTATCACTGTTTTTGTGAACATTGAAGTTCCAGCGCAGCCCAGCTTCCAATGCGGGACCACGCAACCGGTGAGATGGAAGGCCAAGTAGTTCCTGGAATGGAAAAAGGACCAAACAAGTACAGTAGCCATCACGAAGTCACAAAGGAAAAAGGTCAGCTTCTATTCCTTAATTCATCCAGAAATTGAAAACACAAGCCCAAAACAACCGCAGCCTGAACACCGAGAAAAGGTTGTGCTGCAGCTGAAGCTTGGGTCAACTGATGAAGGTCTCAAGAAAAGGACAATGAACCCGGGAAGGCACCTGGAGCCTGCCCAGCAAGAACATGTGGTGGAAGAGCCTTGGAGAGCATCTCTTGACCCGCAATCTCTGAAATCTGCACTTAAGTATAATATTATATATATATGTAATTATCTTTTTGGAGCCATGTTGCGGATCTTTTGTTTTCCTCCTCAAGCATCTTCGACTCAATGCGCTTCAACCCCGCTTCGACGTCACCGGCACTGGGGAGCTCTAGTGTCTTCGCCTCGAGTCGGATCGTCCAGACCGTCCGGCGGACAGTGACGATCGTCTGGACAAACGTCCTTGCTCCTAGTAGCGTCCTCTAGTAAGGCCAGGAGCCCCTAGTAGCGTCCTTGCTCCTAGTAGCGATGCCCTTTGCTACTAGTAGCATTGTGTTCTTGGCTGTAATACATTGTTTTCTTTGCAGCTGTTGACAATTGACAATGTATGTCCTTTTTGTTCGATGTTTCATCTTTCTTGTGCAAAATCAAATCCACATCAAAGCCGTATGTTACAGGTTTCTCCTGCACCTGCCTCATCTGTCTGCGCCAGTACAGGCATCTTAGCTGACAGGCATCTAAGCTGACTGTCAACCCACAGGCAAACTATCTGACTTGTTCATTTAGATTTCATACCCAAAATTGCAGCATGAAAACAATGCAGCGAGCGTTCGCTCATATCAGCAACGAGTCATACTACATACTTATTGCGTCCGAGGCAGCCACCAAGCTCCATTGAAAGTCCTTCTCCTGAGCAGTGTTCAGATGATGTTTTCAGAAAGAAAAATAATAGAAGAACTTTGCTCAAAGGTTAAGTTCTACCCCGGAATTTGTGTCTGTGTGGGAGAGCCTCCTGATTCCTTGGAAACTGAGTCATCCAGAATGTTAGAAGCAACAGTCAAATGCAGATTGAAAATCAAGCCCATCCAGTCCAGGCCAGGCCAAAAAACATCTAGAGGTTTCTTTTGGCATTCGTCTCTTCTCTTTTAGACGCTCTTCTCTGCTTCAATTCTTTTCTTTGTATCTGTTTCTCTTCGATGTCATCCAAGCTGCGGAGCCCAAAGGAACCGAAGTCCAGGCCACCTCCTGTCAATGCTACTGTGCTCACCTCAACAATGCTTAAACTACGCCAGCATAGACCCCACATAGCAAAACATAGATTATTGTAGCAGCACCCTCCAGCACTCAAGCTCCAGAGTGCACACGGCCGTAGACATCTTGCAGCACCCTGGAGCGGCACCCTGCAGCGGCACCAGCCCACAAGCTCCGAAGCGCACAAGGAGGCACCCCTGGACATCCCGCAGCAGCGGCACCCTGCAGATCTGTATAGTTCTCGTTTCAGTGTATATGTTGACCAGAATGATGATCATCACTGCTCCTATTCTGATGAATATTGCAATTGACGAGAAAAAGCTTTGATGGCTACTAGGTAGAGGCCATCGCTAGTAGGTTGGAGGCCATCGCTCTTAGTCTTAGGTTGGAGGCCATTGCAAGTAGGTTGGAGGCTATCGTTCATTCGAGAAGCTTGCGTTTCAACTTTGAACATCCAAACTTCCTTGGACTTCAGAAGTGAAAGAAGCAAACTTGGCGGCGTCATGGTCGAGGCATCAGCAACCTGAAGAAGCCAACATCTCAGTCGCCGTGTTCCGCAAACCAAAGCGAAAGAAACCTAATAGCAATGGCCTCCAACCTAGTTGACGTAATGCAAAGTCAGGATTAATAAACCTCCCCTAGTTAATCCGAGCCCACAAAGCCCCCGGAAATTGCCCAAATTAAAAGTATTATTCGCTGTTGATTTCCCCCCCTATTGTCTAATTTTCTACCAACAACCCCCCCCAGTTAATCCGAGCCTACACAATCCAACAAAAAATAATATTACTTTTAATAAGGGGTTAACTAGTGGAGGTTTATTTATCCTGACTTGACATTATACTTGCTACTGCTGCTACTACTACTACTGCTACTACTACTGCTGCTGCTGCTACTACTACTACTGCTACTACTACTCCTGCTGCTGCTGCTGCTACTGCTACTGCTACTGCTACTGCTACTAGCTATTGCTGTAGCTATTGCTGCTGCTGCTGCTGCTACTGCTACTGCTATTGCTACGTGCTACTACCACGACCACCACCACCACCATCACCACCTACTACCTACTACATGTTTGATGAAATCCTTAAAAATGTCTAGGGCTCAGGGCCTATAAATTGCCTTATTAAAAAACAATTAAAAACAATCATTTGACAAGCTCACAAAGGGTACCCCTCACAAGGGCCGGTCCCCCATCAATAATCTGCACTACTACCCCCTATTAATCTGATCCTGTGTCCCTGGCCTTTTCTTTGTGCTTGTTTAAACTTGTTGTGACTACTACTACCTACTACCTACTACCCACTACCTACTACCTACTACCTACTACTACCTACTACTACCTACTACTACCTACTACTACCTACTACTACCTACTACCTACTACTACCTACTACCTACTGCCTACTACCTACTTCCTACTACCTACTACCGACTACCGACTACTACCTACTACTACCTACTACCGACTACTACCTACTACCTACTACCTACTACCTACTACCGATGACGACTGCGACTACGATGGCTCCCTGATCCGATATTTCAGGGGGAGTGGACCTCATGAGTGGTATCTCATACCTTCTTGACCTTGTTGACCTACCATGTGGGGGGGGGGGGTTATTAATCCGGTCTTTGCATTACTGAGGATTCATCCATGCTTTCAAACACATCGCACAAACTCAAAGCCAAGATACAGGCACGTTGCCCCTGTAATCCTCGGTCGAAGGGCCAATTAATTTGCCTAGCGGCGATGGCCTCCAACCTACTAGCGATGGCCTCCAACCTACTAGCGATGGCTTCCAACCTACTAGCGATGGCCTCCAACCTAGTGGCTGGCATGTTGAGGCGGTTTGCTGTAGAGATGCCTACAAGTTATACGACAGTCTACCATGGTCTACCTTACGCCGTACCTAGTCGAGAAAACACAAAGACCCATGTCCCTCCGAGTTTTATCAGTGTTTCTGCCTTTGCAATAATTGGTCTCCGAGTATCAGTGAAATCGTTCCATCTTGAATCAGCCTCAAACTGGCAAGCGGCAAGTGCTTGTGACTTCAAGAACGACTTGCATGAGGTTTCAAATGATTCAGATCCTACGATTAACAGCTGAGGTTCCTTAACTTCACGGCGGCAATCTCCAACCTCAAAGTCATTCAACTCATTTTAACTCCACTAGATGTCGCATGAGAAAGGAACACATAAGAAATATCAGGTAATGGCGATGGCCTCCAACCTAATAGCTTCTAGCTACTAGTAGTTTCTTGTGACTAGTAGCTACTTGCTCCTAGTAGTACGGCCAGGAGCCCCTAGTAGCGTCCTTGCTCCTAGTCCTAGTAGCGATGCCCTTTGCTCCTAGTAGCTCGCATTAGAACACACAAGAAATGGTTCGATCCACGAGATCCGCACTTGTCGCATGCTCTCTTCCAATCTACGAAGATCCTGGCACAAGGCGTTGCGGATGGGCAAATGGTTCTTCACCGAGGTCGACTCGATGTGCAGGTCTTGAAGCTTGGCTACCCAGATTGGTGAAAAGAGAAGAGACAAATGTGCTAAAATGGACGATCTAATAGCGATGGCCTCCAACCCATGTTATTCTCATGTCAAATGATTGAAAGGCATCCACAGCTTGGATATATGATCTCACTCACCAAGTCTGAGTTCATTGATTCTTAATGCTTGTGCCTGGGTGACTTCAGCACCGTAGTCCTCAGCCTCAGTAGCCTGCGGCTGTCCCCCGCCACTTTTTGTCGGTGCATGAACTGGCACTTTGGACAACCTCTCTGTCAAAAAGAAGGGTGTTGTGGCTGAGGTAGGCAACAAGAACAGTACGACAAACAAAAAGTCGAAGGTGTGCCGCATGGAGGAGAGCCAAGAAATTCTGCGTGGACAAACAAGTGTCTGGAAATGCACAAACAGCAAGAACACGCAGTCAAGCACACATGGAACACTAATGCGGCACCCACAAAACACATCAAAAACATTGTTTTGTGTGTCTTTCCTTTTATCAAGAGAAGAAAAACAACACAAAACGCACTTCAAGACAGAAAAGAAATGTAATTCTATACGTAAAATAGTTTAGAAGAAAAAGGAACAAAACATCTTTTCTGTGTTGCACCGTCTCAGATGTGTTTTGCCCAAGCCATGTCTCCCTATTCAAACCGCCTCCAAAATGTGCTCTGACATCTCCTGGAAGACAAGAAAAGAACATTAAATGACAGGCTTTTGTTGCCCAGATCCATTTTTGCTTTTGGCTTAAGGCTTAGTAACTTGGGTAACATCGGGCGGCTGGGCCTTGGGCAGCTCGGCCAGCTCGGCCGTGTTTGCAAAAGCGTCAACTTCCTGAAAGCATGAGAAACCATGTGCCCTGGACGGAATCGGCTTCAATAAGCTTCCTAAACGCAAAATCGCATACCGTCGTATGAACGTATAGCTCTATATAGCTCTATAGCTCTCGACTGCTACAGCACCGTTCTCGTTTTGGAAGATCTGTAGTTCATGCGGTGTCTAATGGTGTCTAAAAACAGAAATCAAAATAGCAATGTTTTGATGGTTTGCACTTACTTTCAAGAAGAGGGTCGTTCGCCGGCAGGATGCTGATGACTGGAACTGGAGTCTTTGGACCCTGGTCTCTGAGACTGGGGACAGCCTGCCGAAACGTAGAACATGGAGATGGAGAACGTAGAACGTCAGCAAAATATTTGATTTGGTTGAGTCCTTGTCCACTTTCAGTCTCCTTAACACTACAGTTTCAGCACAGAAAGCACCTCGAAGGGCTCGTCTTCGTTATCACTGGAGAGAAAAGCCTGAAAGTCTTTTGCCTCAGGGAGTAGAAATGGCAGAAACGGGTCGAGGCACTGGAGCAATCTTTCAAAGCAGCGAAATGTGAAGAAATGCCCGTGCGTCGGTGAACCGAGGGCGATTGAAGGAAGTAGTTACGTAGTTGAGTAGTTTATCGGTTGCCGTGTTTCCACCCAAAAGCTTATGCGGGATCACGAGGAAAGAGCCTCCTTTTCTGTGTCCTCAGGGAGAGAGATGCAAACCTCCCGCAAAGGAAGAGAAATAGTCGCTTGGCGACAGTTGAAATCGATACAAAGACAGCAAAGGAGGAGGATGACAAAGACAATTCAACAAGTAACCTAGGGTGACTTGCACCGTGCGGAGTCATTCTGTGTATCATGACGTATCCCTTTCATTCAGAAAAATCGGAGGAGGCTCCTCAAAATGGTGCCTTTGCGATCGCCCCACCTCCCTGGAAGTGGGTCCGCTCGGCCACCGTTGGGACACACTCTTCACCAAATCCAAGGTCTCGTTTAATGCCTTGCGCCAAAATCGCAGACCCTGAACCCACAAAGCAGATCAAAGCAGCAAATGCGATATACCATTGCTATAATTCTAGGCAAAAGAAAACAATAAGTTTTAAACCAGCTCAAAAACTGTAAATGTCTCTAACGTTTCTCTCTCCTTCTCCCCTTGTTCATTCCGAGACTTCTTTCATGTTTTGTTCTAATTATGTTCATTGTTCTAGTGTTATGATTTGTCCAGATTCCAGATTTCTAAATTGTTGTTGGGTTGGAGGACATAGCAATTACGAGTAGGTTCCTTATGCTAGTAGGAGCAAAGGGCATCGCTTCTAGGAGCAAGGACGCTACTAGGGGCTCCTGGCCTTACTACTAGGAGCAAGGACGCAATTAGGTTCCTTATGCCAATCATGAAGACTTCCCGTGCGCTCCTTGGCGGACGCCAACGCTTTCCGAATGGTGTCCAGTTGTGGATGGGATAAGCTCTGAGCAAAGCGCCTTACACTTAGGCACCACGCAGAGCAAACAAAGCATACTTCAGCATGCTCGTATGGTCGGCTTTGGTTGATTTGAAAATTCTCACTTGTTGACATCCTGGCAGACCAAAAGGCCCAATTTGCAGACACAGGTGCCCCGGTTCAGGTAGTTCAGGTTCGTCTTCCATGTCATCCAGGATCATCGCTGCTACGCAGCCATGAACTGCAAAGAGGGGCTCATCCAACCACCAACTTCCAAAATCACGAAAAACTCTAGATCCAAGTGAGCAAACGCGAAAGTCCTTGCTGGTGAATGAAAATGTAAATGTTTGCATATTTATATATACATATATAAATATATATGCTAGCCCCCCTAAAACCCATCTGCTTCTAACTTATCTCGAAGTTAGTTCTATTATTTTAGTTTTATGTTAATTCAGATTTCAATGTATTTCAATCTATGCGTAAATACTTTTTGGTTTCAGTTAGTTCAAATCTTATACAATTCAATTTCGGTTGTTTTACCATGCTAGTTTAATTCTATGTTGATTTCCAGTTCAATGCTGATTAACTCTAATTTAACATTAACTCGATTCTAGTTCAGTGCAAATTTATTTCTAACTCAACGCTAATTGAATTCGATTTTAATATGACTTTATTATTCTAGCGAGATGGTTTTGCTGAGGGTAAGATTTAAGAAAACAACATTTAGAAAGCAACACATTTTAAGAAAAAACAAAACTATCATTTTTGAAGCAAAACGCACTCTTTAGAAGCAAATTAGAATTGCATGAAAACCAAAAACAGGTCAGAAAAAGAATAGGGGACGAAAGCCAGCGAGAGACAAATATGGTAATGCAAGACTGGGAAGAAAATAGCGGAGCACTTATTGTTGAATGCCTGTAGCATGAAGTGTTGAATCTATTTGAGAATCCGGGAAAAAAGAAATGTCAGTGCTGTTGGGGACTTTACTTGCACCACTGATCCGCCCAACATAGAACCATAAGTCGCGGCTACACCTGTCTTCCCAGAGACATAGAGACACAGAAGCATAGAGACATAGAGACATAGAGTCAGAAAACACAGAGACATAAAAGACAGAGAAGTTGCTATCTACACGCACTCCGTTTCTGAGAGCAACTTGTCGTTGCCAACCAACTAGCATACTTGCCCCAAGACATCCAAGCAGACTTCTCTGAAAGGATGGCTAGGAGGATGGCAGGAACTATATGCCTCAGCATTGGTGTCACCAACCGTCTTCCAAAAATATTGCATAGATCCGCGACTATAACCCGTCCTCAAACAGCAATCTCTTCACCCCACCAAGTTGCTATCTACACGGGCCCCTTTTCTGATAGGCACTCGTCGCTGCCAACCAACTACCATACTGGCCCCAATACATCCAAGCAGTTCCATTTTGAAGCAATCATCATTCCCCAACAGCGAAGCGTAGGGGTCTTCTGCCATAGGAAAGACTTCGGAGCAGACTCAGAGCGAGCTTCGGAGCAGGTTCCGGACGAGGTTCCGCAGCGGATCCGGAGGAGGTGCGGCAAACGGTTCCGGAGCAGGTTCCGGAGAAGATTCCGGGGCAGGTTCCAGAGAAGGTTCGGGAGAAGGTTGCGGGAGAAGGTTCTGGAGAAGGTTCCGGAGCAGGTTCCAAAGCAGACAAGGCTCAGGAGGGCTTGGACAGCGAAGAGACTTTCTCAGTGGCGCTTCGTGCTGTTGGGGACTTTACTTGCGCTTATGCCACTGGCCCGCCCAACATATAACCATAAGTCGCGGCTACACCTGTCTTCCCAGAGACATAGAGACACAGAACCATAGAGACATAAAACACAGAGAAGTTGCTATCTACACGGGGTCCTTTTCTGATAGCAACTTGTCGCTGCCAACCAACTACCATACTAGCACCAATACATCCAATCAGACTTCTCTGAAAGGATGACTAGGACTAGGAGGATGGCAGGAACTATATGCCTCAGCATTGGTGTCACGAACCGTCATCCAAAAATATTGCATAGATCCGCGACTATAACCCGTCCTCAAACAGCAATCTCTTCACCCCACCATTGCTATCTACACGGGCCCCTTTTCTGATAGGCACTCGTCGCTGCCAACCAACTACCATACTAGGAGGATGGCAGGAACTATATGCCTCAGCATTGGTGTCACCAACCGTCATCCAAAAATATTGCATAGATCCGTGACTATAACCTTGAGAGCTTGACTCAATCGATGGGGCGCAGGACGTCCGAGGTTTTGGTGTGCACGCTTTAGGTTCGTACGCAACTAGCCTCATACCTTTGCGTGCGCGCAGACGTGTCTCACCGTTCCCAAGCAGCCCGTCCGGCGCAAAGTGCTCACTTCGTTCGCTCACAAAGCCTCCAGCCACTATATAGACTAGGGTATGTTTTACCTGCTTTGCCGGTCCAGTCAATACCATCTATATAGCTTCTTTAATTGAAGTCCAACAACGAATGTAAATTGCCCGGTCTCGCATGCTTGGCCAGGACATGTCGATATCCTTGCTTTTGAGAGCTTGACTCAAGCGATGGGGCGCAGGATGTCCAAGGTTTTGGTGTGCATGCGTTGAGTTCGTACCCAACTAGTCTCATACCTTTGCGTGCACGCTGACGTGTCTTTTTGTTTTCAGGGAGTTCCCAGAACCATCTTGCTGCCTGCAGAAGCGCGCGCAACGAGGATTCCGAAGCTCGAAACGGCTACATGGTTCCAGCCAATGGCCAAGCCGTGCATTGACTGTATTGACCCGAAAAGTCGAGCCACCACTATGAACATAGCCGCACAGCCGTTGCTGCACAACCATTATTGAACCAAGCGTTTTACACGTCAGTATGGGACTTCCAGGGTTGGTGGATAAACTCCTGCGCTAGCTACTCTGGGACACGGTTTCGGCCAAGACTGCCCTGCTTCTTCCGCTATCTATCTATCAAACCAGCTCTATCTACCTATCTATCTATCTATCTATCTATGATCTATCGATCTATCTATCTATTCTGTATCTATCTAGCTGCACGGCTGCACGGCCAAGCCGCAACAACGTTCGGTGCACGTGGACGCCGCGAGAAGCATCCGCTCGACGGAGGAAACGGTACAAGTATAGTAGAGACTAGGATGGTTGCTCTGTACATGGGTGCCTGTCTCCACTCCAGTGCTCAATGCCCATTGTCCAAATAGCCTCCACAGCCCTTCGTCACGCTAATGATGCACTACTCGGCGTCCATTGCATCACTCGCATCACCACCCCCCCCACACCCCCTTTATTCACTTCGTTCGGTCTAAGAGCTGGCTTTCGTAATTAGATATAAACATACACTGCATAGAAATTAAATTGAAAAGAAGTATACCCAACATAAAAATTCAAGTGAATGAAAATTGAAATCGTAAATGACCTAGTTCTAATTCAGTTCTATATAACTGAATTCAAATTCAAGCCGAGATGTTAGTTCTATTTCAATTAAATTCGAATTCAGTTAGAAATGAATAAAAATCAAATTGGCGATTGAAACTAAACTTGAAATAGAAATCAGTTAGGTTCAAGTTTGAATTCAATCAAGTTCAAATTTTTGAAGTGTCATTTCAGAATATATTTAGATGTAAATAATAAGCACTTTAGAGTTCAATCGAATTAAATTAGATTTAGAAGGTTTATATTTTGATGAATTCAACTCACCGCTGGCTCAAAAATGAGCTAAAATTGTAGAACACTTTAAAAAATTGAATTAGATCTAAATTTGAGATCCACTGGAACTAAATGAAACTTCTATATTCAATCAAAAAATTTGACTATAGTTCAATTCAAATCAAAATCAACTTCAAAATTAAAAACAGGTTGCGCAAAAGCCCAAAGGACCAAAGCACAGGCAAAACCAAAAAACAAAAACAAAGCTTTGAGAAATCTTTGGTTCAGCCTCAAAAGGTAGTTTTCCTTGTGAAATCCAAAAGGTAGTCTTCGGTCCCCCCGAATGAGAAATTGAGTTACGCGAGAAATGTATTTTTTGCATTCCGCTATTTTTTGTAAGCCAAAAGGCCAAAAGCAAATTTGCCAAAGAGCCCTCGTCGACCAGTGAGTTTAGTGGGTTGATTCCCGTCCAAACTTCCAGTTGGATTTCTCATCAGACGTGACCCAGCTTTGAAGACCTCACTGGCAAGGCTGCCAAGAAAGACCCGAACCTTGAAGCACTTCAGGCCTTCAATATGTTGATATCACACCTCTTAACACAAGCCACACTCAACCTCCTCAGGCATTCAGGAGTGATCGCGCCCCATCTTCCATCCACACCCCCATCCACCCTCCATCTTCCATCCACAGCCGCCCCGTCCACGCCCGGCCACCCTCCCGTATCTCGCCCACCCCCTCCACGCCCGGCCACCCTCCCGTATTACGCCCTGCATCTGCCGTCCACACCCATCTTCCGCCCACGAAAATGCTTGTCTCGTCTCGCTCTGCCCCCACACTATCGACTAAACGAGATTCCAAGCATTGGAGATGCTTTTGGGAAAAGCACAAGTCTTTTTTGGATGTTGGACGTCAAAACCAAAAAAACAAAACACAATGAAAACCAAAAAAAACATCTTTTGAGGCTGAACCAAACATGTTATTTTTTATGTCTGTGTTTGTGTTTTTTTTGGTTTGGTTGGTTTTTTTTTTGGGGGGTACCATACATATACATATATATTATATATATATATATATGTCTTAATATTTTATGTTTGTGCTGCCTCCCCTTCCACCAACAAGAAGGAATGATGTGGCCCAACGCGCGCTGCTCTGAATGTGGTATGTTCTCTGCTCCTGAGTGCTGTTTCTTGGAAGAGACAGTGCCCGGATCGCCATCGCTCAAGTTCTGTAGACTTCGCCTGAGTCGGTGAAGGGCCCAATATCTGGGTGCTTTCACATCAACAAAGGTAGCAAGCACGCGTATCATGGCACATCATCTGCACGTGAATGAGAAGATGAGGTCTGAAAGCATGACATGATCTTTACCAAGAAGCACCATCCGCCGAAGCTGAAGCACCTTGGTTTACAGCAATCTTTGGTCAAGAGCATGACGCGCCGTTTGATTGCTCTTGACTTTATCCAGGCTGACCTGAAATGTCGTGCACATCGAATGCAACGACCATCCGTTGAATGCATCCCAAGGACATGTTGTTCGGTTCGAACGCGATCCTCACCCTTTGCAATCGCCTGCGGAAGCGATTGCGAACGGATCCGAAGGGCGCTCTTCGACGTCACATCCAACCAGCATGCAGCATGGAGCAGGCCAGGCTAAGGAAAAATCGTGTCTTGAGGAAGAGCATCACAAGGTGAGATACAGGCCCACTGTCCCACCCGTCTGTGTAATCCGCAAGTGACAAGGGAAGCATCATAAAGACTAGAAGACGATCCTATTATATATCTGATGCATTCATTCAGCAAAAATGACGGAGCTGTCCCTTTTCTACATGTGTCGAAACTGCCCAGAAAGTAGAATTTCATGATGCTTAAAAGAACACCAAAACCAACACCTACCAGTCGATCAATGATTGAACCACATGCATCAAAGGTCAACACTCGGGCACGGCATGTAAGATTCACGGTCCTCCAGCTCCTCCACAGACTGTGAGGAGATCATCTGCCGAGCTGAAACAATGTGATATAATGTGATACTGTCATAGGTTAACCGCTCAGACCTAGATTGCATCTAGCTTCAAGGCTGAACCCTTCACTTTGCAGGTATCAGTCAATCATATGAAATCTCATGACAAGGATGTTTAAGGTCACAACCACATGCTAGCGGTTTCTAAATAGCGAAGCGCTTCTCATCCCAGCAAAAAAACAGTCTTCCGTGTCTGGCCTCCCGCAACTCGTGTCTGGCAACTGGAAGTGAGGAGCTCCACGGGCAAAGCTCACTGCGATCAAGAGCCATGATATCCTGCTAGTAACAAGTGCATCGCTAGTAGTAACAAGTGCCTTACTAGTAGTAACAAGAAGCTATTAATTTACTTATTTACTACTAGCTTCTTGTTACTACTAGTAAGGCACTTGTTACTACTAGCGATGCACTTGTTACTGAAAGCCCAAGGGATCTGCCTGAGTCTACTTCAGATGTATGTCCCATTAGGTGTTCATGTTTGCCCACAGTGCATGGGATATGAAACGATGTCCAGCTCCAAGCCCCTGCACATCATGCTTTGTTTCAAGTGTTTGCGTAGTGATCTCCAACCCTGAGCCGCAAACATTTACACTGCTTTCAAAGGTCTGGGTAGTGACTCTTGAACCGCAAAAACCATGCTTGTCCAGTTGTGTGACCCCTCAGGTTGAATGAAAGTCGTCACATATCGTCTATATTCAATATAGAACAAAATTAAGATTCAATTGTTGAAACCTTCCGCACTCTCGTTGGAGGCCATCGCTCCTAGGTTGGAGGCCATCGCTAGTAGGTTGGAGGCCATGTGCTATTAGGTTGGAGGCCATCTCTCCTAGGTTTGAGGCCATCACTCTTAGGTTGGAGGCCATCGCTCTTAGGTTGGAGGCCATGTGCTATTAGGTTGGAGGCCATCTCTCCTAGGTTTGAGGCCATCACTCTTAGGTTGGAGGCCATCGCTCTTAGGTTGGAGGCCATCGCTAGTAGGTTGCATGCTCTTTTCTCCCTTCACCCATGCTTCTCCAAGGGGCACGGCCCTGCAGCGCAAAGGAGGCCATGCTCGCTGCCTCATGTAGGGCCAGGGTCTTCCAGGTGAAGGCTTCCACAGCTTCCAGAAAGGCCTCTGTCACGCTTCAAAAAAGGAAAAGCAACAAGTTGTCTTTTTGGAATGAAAAAAAGTAGTAAAAGAAACAAACATGTCTTCGTCGCTTTGGGCTTTGTGGCTTCTACATGTGACACGTTTTGCAATAGTAGTGGCATTGATCGAAGCCAAGTCATGAACAAGACTAACAACTGCCAAAAAGGCATTACAAAAAACGAAACAAAACACACCATTGTTCTGGCTCTACTTTGCGTGTTCTTGGGATTTCTTTCAAAAGAACGCAAGCCACACGCGGTCACAGGCCGCTTCAAGGCTCCAATTCCGTGCGTATGTTCCTGTTTTGAATATGTTGTTTCCGTCGATTGTAGGCAACTGGCAAGACCGGCTTAAGAAGTGCAAGAAGAAGTGTCCTTCAAGTCTTCACCTCTGGTAATTATATGCATACATTGATACCTTAGTAAATGCAACTGTGTATCTGACTAAAGTTGCGCATGCCAAAGGCATCATGTGCAAAGGAGGATTGATGTGTAAATACCAGTGTATTTTCTGCATGCGTGCATGGATAAAACCCCTGAGACAGAGTATCGCGTGTTTACCTGGCGATTCTCCTTACACTGAGCGTTCACGGCACTGAGTCGCTTAGCACATGCGGAGCATTGCGGAGCGTATAGCGTGGGCGGTGAAGTGCAAAAAAGAGAAGGTTGCAAATAGTAGCGATGGCCTCCGTCCTAAGACTGATGCCCTCCATCCTAGAAGCGATGACCTCCAACCTGGAAGCGATGTTTGGCCTCTTGAATGAAGGCCCTCTTTAAAGGGTTCCCTTTTAAAGAGACCCAAACGCATTCTCCTTTGGGCTCTATTTTGAGCATGCTCCAAGAGACCCTTAGACTCCCCGCCTTTTCCAAAGAACTGTTGCGGCGCTCATCTTCCATGACAGCTCGTTGAAGTGTGAAGACGCAGTCTTCAACCTGGACACTAGAAAAAAATGGCATCCTGAGCTTCACAACACAAACACGCGAATTTAAAGCAGTCCAGGATGTCGATGGCTTCGAAAGATATGTTTCGCCGCTTCATGTCGAGGCACAGCTTCAAAGGCCATGTTTCGCCGATGTACCGCATCCAAGCGCTGCTGCAAATCAAAAGACTTCTCCCACAAGGAGAGGACTTCCTGGAAGGGCGACTGCATCTCCTCAGTTCTCAGCCACCAAAGGGAACGACCAGAGAGGCTACTACAATGAGGTTGCTAATAGTGGCAATGGCCTCCAACCTTATAGCATACAATGTTGCAACAGGTTACCACAATGGATTATTTGTTCATACAAATCATGTTTGGTTGCTCTCACCAACCAATCATTTTCAGGATGCAACAAACTCCAATGCACAAGATATTAATGACATCGCTAGGAGTCCTGTATCCGTTGGAATGAGTATTAAGCGATTGCGGAGATTGCACAAGTTCAAGAATTGGTGGACTGTGTCGTGGCAATATGAGCAATGCTGCATTGCAAAGCATCCTTTGAAATCCTCCACTCATTGATGAATCTCTGAGTGGTTTTTTTAAATATGTTTACACTCATAGCAGAATTTGTCCAGCAGAGTCTTCTCTCTAAAGGCTCTTTTTCAGGAATGCAATCTTTCTGGTTTCTTTGTCGAGGTGCTGTCTGCACCGATGCTGCTTTGAAGCGCCCCATTGAACCTGGACACAATTTGGTGACAACAATCAGTATCCACTCACAGTAATCAACCCGTCTGGCTATATATACAATATCATGTCAATCATGTGAATCATATGTCTGTACCTCCAACCTGAGCCAAGCAGAACAGAAAAAGACTGCATCAAAAGGCCGGAGGCGCTGGCGCGTTGGTCTGGCGGTTCCTTCCCACGCTCCAAGTAGCGCAACTTCAATCTGTACATTTCGATCTGGCGCGGTCAACTTTCGAGGCTACCAGCCACAACTCATCAGCATATTGCAAAAGAGCTGAAGAGACTGCAGAAAAACATTCGAAAGCCAAAAGGGTCAAGAGACCTATGGCCATGTGGTTGTAGGACGATGGCCTCCAACCTAATAGCAATGGCCTCCTACTTACCTAATACCAATGGCCTCCAACCTAAAAGCGTTGTGTGAAATGATGTTGGTTTGCAAGGCTTTTGTGAAAATACAGCAAACAATGCATGGTATTTCAGACTGGCCCATGGCTGGCCTCTCGGATGTATTCCACACCTGAGCTGCGGTGTCTCTTTTTTCGATTTTGGCTCCACCAACACGCGCGAAAAAGCTCCTAGTAGCGTCCTTGCTCCTAGTAGTAAGGCCAGGAGCCCCTAGTAGCGTCCTTGCTCCTAGTAGCGATGCCCTTTGCTCCTAGTAGCGTCCGAAACTTCATTAAACCAACTTACTGCGAACGAGACTAACACATATAATGCAAGGAACACATGGGATCACACGTGAATAGGACGAGTTGGCTGGTGTAGCAGGATGGCTGCATGTGTATTGAAGTTCTGTGCCATGCTCTTTCAGGGGCTGTGCGCAATTCAAATCTGACACGCCAAGTACAAAGAATGCCTGGAGGCAAGGACGCTAGGGGCTCCTGGCATCGCTACTAAGAGCAAGAAGCTAGTAGGGGCTCCTGGCCTTACTACTGGAGCAAGGACGCTACTAGGGAAAATGAAATGTGGAGCAAAGAATGCCTGGAGGCAAGAGGTTCTTCGGTGTCGTGCAGGACTTGTCCCCGGCCATGTGGTTGTAGGTCATGGGTGCTCTGCAGGGTTCACGCTGTACAGGCCACAGTGGAGCAATGTCAGATTAGCGATGTACTTCTTTACATGTCAGATTTGGATGGAAGGCTCCAAGCTTAGTGGCGAAATATATAACAGCACTCGCCGCTCAAAGCCGTCCTAACTCATGGCTGAAATAGCCGGCACATTGCACTATCATGCTTCTCAAACCACTAGACATCACAATCATCACATCACCATTGCATTTCACCTCCGAATCACAACCTAGAGGCAATTATCTTTGTTCATGGAAACTTTCCCGTCCCGGCTCTGCTCGCAACAAGAAGCTACTAGTAACAAAGGGCATCGCTACTAGGAGCAAGGAGGCTACGAGTAGCTCCTGGCCTTACTACTAGGAACAAGAAGCTACTAGTATTGCAAATTGCATGCGTTTGCATCCTGAGCTCCTGGCGAATGGCCTGCAGCGTTGTCTCCCAGTTCTGTTTCTCCTCTTTGTCGCTTCGCAGGAAACTAGTCCGACTTTGAAGATCTTTGAAGAGCATCTCTAATAACCACCAGAGTTTTGCAACTTGCAAAGATCCATGTTTCCTCCTCTACCTGCTGGCAACGCCGCAGCTTCTCTTTCCACTCTGCTAGCCGTTGAAAGAGTAGGCCCTCCTAGGCTTGAAGCGAACGCGAAACACAGATGAGGATGAAAGGCTATGAAAGGCTTAACGCGCAACAACTTTAAGTTAACTACATATACATACAATTATATGTTATGTGCGTCAAGTAGCTTTCGTCGTTCCATCGTTCACCCAAGCTTCAAAAAGGCAAATGCATAATGGCTCCCCTTTTTATCTATTTTTTTGCTCAATCTGCCAAGCATCCAGCAGCAATTCTTGCCCAGAGCTCATTTCTCCCTCAGGGAGACGTGCTTCAGGCACAGCCATGAGTGACCGTTGGGACAGGAGCGAGCCAAACACAAACTATCACGTTTGAACTCCGAGCTACGCCGAGAACTCTTGATTTAGTAAAAAAGATTGGAGTGAAGAGGTCTTGGAAGTAGCACGCGTCACATCCACAAAAGGCCTGCCTCTTTCTCAACAGTCACCAGTCCCTTGGAGTGCAAAGCAGTGCGGAAGTCCGCAATGCAGGCCTTCAAGTCTTCCCCATCCTGGCCAGCACCACAAGTTAGGTCTCGGCCTGTTCATGTTGATTGAAAGGAATCTGGAGAGGCGTGAAGCTACAACAAAGAACTCCCAGCACTAAAGGCACGTAGAATCGACGTAGAACTTAAAGTTAAGTTTCCCAAAAAATCGCTATCCTGCGCCGAGTTACTAGTAGCTTACTCCGTCACTCAATTATGTAGGTGCCTAAAAGACTAACGTTTTTCGAAGCAATGGTCCTCTTTCGTCGGAGTCCGTCGGAGCCCGCCTCGATGTCGCCCAGTCGAACAACCCAAGAGCTCTGAATCCCGACCGCCGGACAGTTCAGCACCAGTGACAACGACGACGCCATGACGAGACTGCGTCTCTGCTTCTAATTTGAACGGGGCGAAGAAACTGCTCTGATTTCTTTGTTTTGTGCTTCAGCAATTCTGCCACAAGCTAGTGTCATTTGCTGTGGAAACCACCTGGATGAATTGGGTTTGACCATGAAAACATTGAAAGAACCTTCAGTGTGATGTCCTAGCTTCAAGTAAGTTATGTGCAATGCTGCTATGCTTTATGCCCACCACATTCATATGACTTGGATCCATGACTCAAGACCTTGCGGACACGACAGCCAAACACGCCGCGCTAGCAGTATGTTCTACAAATTGTCACTAGTCCTGAAATCTGCCCACAGTTGAACAGCTTTCCTCTTGACGAAGAATGGAAGACCGGGAGAAGGTTGCCGGAACTTTGGCAGTCATTTTGTGCTGAGGCTCGTCTGAACTGTGCAAAGCAAACAAAGCGCACAGTCATGTCAGGCTCAAAAACTTGTCAGGTTC